GGAACTCATAGATTCTACCTCTCACGGCCTGTCTGGGACTACAGGTATGTGCCATCATACCTGGAAGAAAACCCTCTTCAATTAGTACATTGTTTAAGTGTTTTCCCTTTACCAAAAGTTGTTTCAACTTAACTCAGATGATAAGAAAATAACTTCAAAATCTAAAACAAAAAGATCTAAATAGATATTTCTCAAAACAATAAGTATAAATGGCCAACAGATACATTTAAGAGAAATGATTACCACTAACCATGAGAGAAATGTACATTGAAGCCACTCTGAGGTATCGGCACTTCCCTGCTGGAATTGCTATTAAAAGGATGGAAGGAATTGAGCTCTGGCAACATGGGGAGGAAAGAAGGCCCATGTGCACAGACACTGGGGCTGTGAGTCCGCCAACCACCGCTCAAATCCACATAGAGACACCTCAAAAGTTAAAATGGAATATACATATGATCCAACCAGAAGTTCGACGAGCTCCGTTTATATCCAAGAAGCCTGAAGTCAGCAGACTGAAGAGAGAACTGCACGCCCTGTTCACTGCAGCATTATTCATGGCATGGATGAATGGACAGAGATACGGGTGGACAGACGCAGAAAATGTGGGAGGGACGCACAATGAACCGTCATTCAACCTTAAGACAGGAGGAAACCCTATCAAGTGTGGCAACACAGATGGATCTGGAGAAGATTTGGTGAAATAAACCAAGCACAGAAAATCAAACCTAAGAGAACTCCCAAGAGCAGAGAGAGCACGGACGGGTGCCAGAGCTGAGGGTAGGAGGTAGGGAGCTGTCAAGCAAAAACTGCTAGCAATGGACTCATAATATATATTAACCATCTTTAAAATTTAAACATTTATTTATTTGTGTGTATGTGCATGCATGCGTGCGTGCGTGCGTGTTTGTGTGTGTGTGTGTGTGTGTGTGTGTGTATGTGTTTGTGTGTGTATACCACAGGAGAATGGCAATCAAAGGACTACCTTAGGGACTCGGTTTGTTCCTTCTACTCTGTAGATCCCGGGGATCAAATTCAGCTCATCAGGCTCCGAGGCGAGTGCCCTTAACCACCACACCTCACCAGCCTAAATCAAGGATCCTTACATACACCATCTGTCTTATTCTATATTGTTTCTATTGGTTACTCAATGAAAACAAAACCAGCAGACCTAACAGCCTTTAAAGGTGTCGATAAAGATTATTCTTCACAAAGTGTTGGAACTCCTGACGCTATCAGAAGGTTTGAGATGTCCCCCTTATTTCTACCCTTGTAAACAGTAACACTTAAGGAGAGATCTGAGCCAAAGAGTTTATGGATTCCTAAACCTATGCAGAAAACTTGATAAAGTATCTAGTGTTTGAAACTTGCTTATTGTTTTCTTTTTGATAGGAACAGGAGGAACTCCTGAATTCCCATTTCACGGTTTCTGTGAGCGGAGTTCTGGGACGCTTGCCATTCCTTGCTTGGTGTGGGGAAGTGGCTTCATCACAGAGCAGCCTTGGATTTTAAAAAGAATTTTTATTCCTTGAAAATTCCATAGACATGTGCAATGCATTTTAATCACAGCTGTTCCCTGTCCCCTCTAACCAGGCCCCTCGATATATCTTCCTTCCAGCTTCTAATCCTTTCCCTCCCAAATAACCCAAATAACCCATCAAGTCCAGCAGTGTGCCCATATGACCATGGCTGTGACATCGTCATGAAGTCATCTACTCCTTGTGCGGACCCATGAGTAGTCACTTTATCCTCCCACTGGATCCTCATAGAGGTCTCACTTCCATCCTGTGACCAGGACTTAGAAGCAGAAAAGGTTTTTACAACAGACTCGGCATTTAGTTCGAGGGACACCAAAGCAAACGTGGATGGATGGTCCCAAGGGTGATGTCTTCCCATCTCTCCAGGCAGATGCTTCAATAGCTGATGTGAGACTGCATGTGACCCATGGGTCAGAGTCAGCCTGGCCTACACCTGAACCCTGTCTCCAACACTACCAGACCAAGAGGCTCTTAGTGAGCTCCTCCCATCTTTGGACTTCAGCCATAGGGATTCCACAGGGCCAGACATGATGGAGGTCACATTATTGAACAAGGACTCTCACAATGAAAAGGCATGTGGGAGGCCATTTGGGGAAAACTCCAGTGTCCTAACCTCACTTGAGGGGCTATGGCTTGCAGAATCAAGTAGCTAAAGTCATCCAAGTTTGCCATTCCTCAATGACTAGCATCTCCAATCCTTTATGGCTGGCTTTACAGTACGGAGGGAATTTTTAGATGGAAGTATAGCACTTGAGTCCCATAATCCCCAGAGTGAAATGAAAACCCTGTTTCCACTTGGCCATGAGAAGAACTCATTCACTTATTGGTCCCCATTGCTGCTTTAATCCTCTAACCTGGCAGTCGGGAGCTTTCCCCTCAAGTCTTTGTTTTGAAGACAGCATTGTAACCCACAACCTTTAAAAATGCTCCAGAGTATCACTGCTCTGGTGGAGAGAAATCAAGATGATTTTGCAGTCACGACTGCCACCCCGTGGCCAAACATCAGACCTTCAATAGGAGGGAAAAAAACCAGGGACACTAATAAAGACTTCAGTTGTTAAGTCCTAGGAATCTCTGCCCACTGGAACTTTATGACTGCATAGGGTCACTGCACAGATTAAATACTACAGTACACACAAAGCTGTCAGAACAGTGCCTAGAAGGCAGACCATAAAACGTTAGCCGCCTTTAACTACCACAGAGGTAGGCACCATTGGACTCTGTCCAAATTTTAAATGCTCGTTTCCTGAGCAATACTACCTCCAATAATATGTCACATAGAAATGCTCTATAAACATGTAAAGATAAAAGTACAAGGAGACTTGTGGAAAGAGGGGATGAAATAAAAGACCAGATAGGTAAATTAAACATTATTAAACATATATATATACATATATATATATCACACACACACAAAGAGAGAGGCAAGAGATAGATGATAGATAGATAGATAGACAGACAGACAGACAGACAGACAGATAGGAGTCTAAATATATAGCTTTGGCTGCCTGATTGGCCTTGAAACCACAGAGGTTTGCCTGCCTGTCCCTGAATCCCAAGAACTGGAATTAATAGCATAACACACCATGCTTGGCACAGTATGTTCTTAATATAGAATACTATACAGCTACGAAAAATGAAGAGCTAGCTGTATGCAAATATGAGAAAACCTCCAAGATTTACTGTTACTGTGTTTTTTAAAAAAACAAGTGCAATCATAGTCAAAGTATAATCTTGTTGGTGGTTTTATGTTTCTAATTATTTTATATGGATGGATGTTCTGCTTCCATTTATGTTTGTGCACTACATTCGTGCCTGGTACCTGACAGAGGTCACAAGAGGGCATCAGTATCCTTGGAAGTGGAGTTACAGACAATGTTACGCACCAAGTGGGTACTGGGAATTGAACCTGGGTCCTCTGGGAGAGCAACTGGTGCTCTCAACTGCTGAGCAGTCTCTGCAGAGCTTTCCAGATTTTGTGTTTTTTAAAGGGTGGAAAACTTTTGAAAGGCTTCCTGGGATAGTGAGAACAAAGACACGTAGAGGATGTGTATGCCATTTATTGGAAAAGTTAACTTACTGTGATTAAACCTGGCCTGTCATTCCTCTACATCAGTTTCTTCCCAGCCTGGTCCTTGAAGTTACAGTCCTTTGCAGGCACAGTCAAGCCTGCCTCAGCTTTAGAGTCTCACTGAGCTTTGTTCACAATGGATGCCCCGCCTCAGCCCAGCTCTGTGGAGTTGTTTACCCACTGTGGGGAGCAGTCTCTTTGCCAGCAATTTCAAAGTCTCACTTATGGCCTCAGCTTAGCTGTTAATTTCCATCACCAGTAACTGTGGGATGCCCCTGTGTGTTCCCCCAACACCTCAGGTTCCCCGATGGCGACACAGCCAAAGGGCACGACCAGGTTCAGTCTCCCAAACAGCAGGAAAAACTGACCCATCTGTTGGAACCCAGGTGCTTTCTTAGAGGTCAGTGGCATCTTTGCTGATTACAGAAGTCCAATTATGGACCCAGTTCTAGAAAGGCAGCAGAGTGAACTGGACCAGAGAGACTTAGTGTAAGATAGTTTTGATTCACTGGATGATCTTGGTGAGGTTTCTCCTCTCCCAGCTCCTGCTGCTAAAAAAGACGACCTAATAGACCAAGGAAGGAGAGTGACCCATGCTTTCCCGTGTCCTCTGTTTTGGATGCTGTCCTGTGAATATGTGATGTGTAAAAGGTTCACTGAATACTGTGAGCCACCAAGTAGAAGACACACCTAATGGCCCTGGGCAATGGATCGAGTCCCAGTAATCACCACCAGACCTTACACTATGTTGATTAACGTGAACCGTTGTCCAAATGAATCACGAGCACCATGATTTTTGTTTAAACTATCATTAGTTCAGCATTCTACTGCTGCAACAAAAAGCATCCTAGATTGCTACTCTCAACATCACAGGCCATCAAATCCAAAGACTAGTGACGGTGCCTGGCAGAGAGCCTTTACGGCCAGGAACAAGATCTTGGGATGAATCAAACCAAAGTGCTCTTTCTGCGTTCTTCTAGATCCACGTCTTAACTCCTTCATTCAGGTTCAAGCCTGTCCAGAACTTGGGACAAGAACCATAGCCAAATTCATCAAGATAACTCATGACATTGACTCTGACTTCTGTAACCTCTCTACTGTAGAAAACTTATGTATGAAGACCTTTTCAATATCAGGGATCACAACCCTTGAGATGATCCTTCCATGGGACAGCATGAAGGAAGGGGTTAATGTATCAGCTTTTATCACCCATGCCCAGGTCTTCAGAAACAGCCAATGCCTTGAGAGCCTATTCCAGACAACTCCCTGACATCTTCAACACCTCTCTATTATCCCAAGACAGGAGGTCGTGATGCAAGGTGCACCATCATAGTCACTTAGGTGGAGGGGGAGCACCTGTCATACTCTTAGTGGGGAGTACCAGCCATACTCACAGGAGTCTGGAAGCAGCAGAAGAGCTGGGTGAGGAAGGGGTGGTTGCGGGCCAAGGACAGGATCCTCTTCTCCGTCATGGTGCACTCCACATCGTCATCCTGCAGGATCACATCCTTCTTCAGGACCTTCACGGCATACAGCTCTCCTGTTTCCTTTATTCTGGCGAGCATCACCTAGAGCACAGCAGGAGGGAGCGTGAGAGAGACTCGAGGGTTGACTACACGTGAGGAGCTCTGGCGTGCACCCACATACATACATGCGCACACACACATACAGCATGCTTGTTACTTCAGACTCACCTTCCCGAAGCTCCCCTTCCCCAACACCCGGATGAACTCAAAGTTGTCGATGCCGAATCTGCTGGAAGAATGAACGCCGATCCCATTTCCTTCCTTGGAGCCCTCCTTTCCCTGTCGTCTTAGTGTCGACCTGGAAATGAGTTTCTGCAAGGAGGAAGAATGTAGAAATTGCACTGTGAGCTCAAGGTGGGTATGGATGGGGAAACCTCCCTAGTGTGAGCAGCCCCGGCCTCCACCCAGCATGTGGAGAGGCCGGTCCTGGGAAAATGTTCAGCTCCTTCAACTGAAAACTACCTCACCATTCACTCCTGGTCTGTATGCACTGCTGTGTGGAGAATACGTCCAAGCCTGTGCATAAATGGAGATGCCAGTGCCTGAGCCTGGTCACTGTGGTTTCTGCTGCAATGGCTTCACCACAGAGCAGTCAATTCTAGGGGAGTCATCTAGTGACCACTTCATGCAAAGGGTGGCTTTCATGCTTGCTCAGAGTCTCAGCAGCAGGACAAGAATATGTTTTTTTTAAAAATCAAAACCTTAAATTATATAAAATTCAATATAAAATAGAAAGAATGATAACTATGATGAGTAAACGTTAAGTACCTAAAAATCCCAGCAGCTTTCTCTCAGTATATATTTTTAGGACAATGTACAAAGAAACACATTTTCATACTAAATTTGAAAATATGGCTAAATTATTGTCTTATTGTACACAGTATTATTCTAAAATGGTCACACTGGCTTTTTACATCTTTAAATGTTCTTTTGAGAATGCAAGGCTACTTCTAAAAATATTTGTTTTTATTATTTTTAATTGTGTGTGTGTGTGTGTCTTTATATGGGCATCTGCAGATGTGTGCCAGACTCATGGAGACCGGAAGACGGTTCTAGATCCCCTGGAGTTGAAGGTAGGTGATTGTGAACCACCTGACATAGATGCTGAAAACCGGATTCTCAAGAGCAGAACTCTCTCCTAACTGCTGAGCCATCTTTCCAGCCCCCAGGAGGCTGTTTTTGTTTAATTGTGCCTGCCCTTTGAGGTGCTGGGAATGGACCCCAAGGCTAGATACATGCTAGACAAGCACTCTACCACTAAGCTACTTCCCAGCTCTAAGAATATGAATTCTGACTTATCTAGTTAAAAAGGATGTGTCTAGACTTCAAGCAATGCTAAAAAACAAGCAACTACACCACACCCTGAACCTCCAAGGATCTTATATATTTAACCCCACAAACAGGCACAACAATACAATAAAATGGCTTATATTTAAAATACAACGGGGTTTTTTTTTATAGCTCTCCTTCTAAATCTACTATAGACTTTTGAAAGACAGAAAAGTAGTGTCAAAAACCACTAAAAACTAAAAGCCAGAATCCCTAATTTTTTTAAACGCATTTTTCTCTTTGGCTACTTATAATTCTCTCCTTTTAGTGATGTGCTGATGACAGGTAGATCCATTTTCCCAACTATTAAATACCATAACACTAAAGATACTTCGTTTTAAAGAGACGCCCATTTTGGGACTGTCACATAGCCTGCCTCCTGATCTCACAGCTATCCAGACATGGCTACTTCCCAGCCTCCAAGGATGTGGCCCAGAAAGACAACATTAAGATCTCAGAAGCCACCAAGGCTCTGATGGACAGCATCAGCTGGACGTCACTTAGGGAGGTTGCAGGACAAAACACAGCCAGGGCAAGCAAATCACTCCACCCACTCCCAAGTGTCCCGAGGAAGGAGCTGTCTGCTGCAGAATGCAAGAGATGAACTCATAACCCTGGACACAGGCTGCAGACCAGGCAAGTGGAGAACCCCAGGCACTGGCACCTTCAGTCCCATCAGATAAGGAAGCAGAGGCCTGTGGCTACTGGCCAACTGTCCAGATTGGCCACCAGCCAGGGGCATACCCTAGGCATCTGGATTCTGAGTTTCTTACTAAACCAGATTGATGGGAAGCTGATTTTAAGGGGGTGTGGAGGTGAGTCCTTTCTCTTGCTTCATGATATACATGCATGCACACTGTTTTGTGCCATAACTGCATAGGCTCTAGTTTGGGAAACAAAATGCCTTTTTTAAGCGCGGTAGACTTGTTTACCATATTTGCTGAGATTATGTTCCTCTGGACTTTCATTTGAGCTCACCTAACCCAAATAACTTTCAACCTACAAGACACAACCAGAGGCAAAGAGCTCACCGAGGTTGGAGAAATATTTCCGGGTTGGAGACCCATCCCTGCCAAGGTCTTGGCAAGCTCCACCGCATTCACCCCACAGTTTGGGGCCACGTTCGCCTGACACCGAATATGTACATTCATTTTACATACTGGAGGGAAGAAAACAAAATCCAGATTCACAAACATGCTTGCAGACAACGTCGGTAGCCTAAAGACTGTGACAGAAGAATGATATGGGCTGACACCGTGATCTCACAAGATTAAACTCGCACTTACAACAAGTCCTGGCATTTTATCTAATTCTGATTTGTGTAGGGGCAGAAATCCTAGCACATTAAAGAATAACGGGCTTTGAATAACAGATTTTGACTCTTCCCCATGGCTTGATGGGATAGACTCATCTAAATCCTGTGTAGCAGTCGCCGCTGCCTTGGCAGCAAAATGTAATATAGAGATGAAGATGCTGATCACAGTGGCCATCACGGGCGATCAGATGACAAAGGATCACACTAACTGACTTCACTCCCTCTTGCCAGTGAAATAAAGGCAGGAGTCACCAGGCTGCAGCTTGGTCACTGTTCACATAAGGTGGAAATGGGTTTCTGAAGGGTTCGTGCAGCTTTTTTCCGAGTACTGTTGTGGTTGGGTGGTACTCCCAGCCCACAAGGCACATCCGGTAGGGCTGTGGTTCTAACTGTTTTTTTTTTTTTTTTTTTTTTTTTTTTTTTTTCGAGACAGGGTTTCTCTGTGTAGCCCTGGCTGTCCTGGAACTCACTCTGTAGACCAGGCTGGCCTCGAACTCAGAAATCCACCTGCCTCTGCCTCCCAAGTGCTGGGATTAAAGGTGTGTGCCACCACCGCCTGGCTCACGGTTCTAACTGTTTTATAAGGAAGAAAAGAAAACAAAAAGCAAACTTTAAAGTGTTTGAAGGTCAGGGTAAAATGACCTTTGGAGAAGCGAGCAAAACAAGCTGCATTTCTTGCGTTTGTGAAGCTCCCGTGACAATGACCGCCCTGAGGTTTAATGGGGGGGGGGAGTTCGAGAATTACTATCATGTTTCTTGAAGTGGGTCCTGCAGACAGAAGGCCCAGCTGAAGCCTTGCAGGACAAATGTCTCTTTGATGGAGTCACTCTGTCTTTGGAGGCACAGAACAATCTAGACGTTATGGGGATTGAGTTTGTCATTTGGAAAGCTTTCTTTATGAAAAAGAACGCCACAGGAAGCGGAGAGAGGCTCTGATGCTTTAGCTTCATTAGCCTCACAGGACACAAACTACGAAGGCCTTTTAGAAAAAAACCCTGTGACAATAAAAACAAAAGTAACAGGAGCTAAGTGGCTGCAGGTCTGCTGCTCTGGGGCACCCGGACACAGAGGACACAGATGAGCCTCCTTCCTGTGTGGATCTGTATCCTAGCCGGAAATACAAGAAAATGGAAGCGGCTCACTCCAGTGAGAGCATGCAACACCTCAGGCAAAGAGGCTGCTTCACCTGAGCTTGCTGCTGCTGTAGGTGAATGAAAACAAAACAACAAAACAAAACAAAAAAAACGATGCTACAGGGGCAGAGAGATGTGCTGTCTATGTTGATTTTCTTCTTACTCGGTACCCCAGGATGCTCTGGACCTCACTCTGTTCATCAACCCGTGATGCCCCTTCTAGGGTGCTGGGATTTGAGGCATGAGTCAATACACCTTGCTAGAATTTGGTCCCTTTTGTTGACACACACAGTTTGACTGTCCCAGACAGCCAATGAAAGTTGTTGTCCTAGTGTGTGTCTCCTAAGGCTTCCGGTGCACCCCAAGGCAGCCAGATAATCACAGATTAATGGGAAATGACTCCAGGCCAATAGCTCCACAACCCCTACCAAAACGGGTGTTGGCCTTCACCCACTCAGAGCCTTTGAAAAGGCAAGAGCTCCGAACAGCAATGGGTGCAGTTGGTGAGGTGCCAGCCACAACCAAAGCTCCAGCTCTTGCTCTTTGCCCTGCCAGCTTCTTCAGTCACAACACAGGACTCTTGCAGACATCCCACGCAACTCCTGCTAATGTGGCAACTCAACGGGGCCGCCTACTTCCGGTGAGAGCCAGGTCTTACTTAGAACCCAAACCCTCTCTTCCGGCCATTCACCCATACCTCCTCCCACCTTCTTTCTCTCAGAGAGCCCCATTTTCAAAGCCTTCTTTCAAATGCCCCTTAAAACCATATAGTCAGCAACAAGTAGCTAACAACTAGCATGGTAGACCTTTAGATCTAACATCTAATTTAATCTATATTATTTTAGGGATCCGACACAGTTCCCTTTACCTGTACTCCAACCCAACTAATGATACTTAAATAATACAACTCAGGAATTGATATGTAAATCATCAGCCTTAGGCCAGACGATAAGCCCACAGAGCTTCAAAGGCTTATAGTACAATGTTGTCACTGAGGAGGAGGAGGAAGCCAGCGTCCTTACTTTTACACTGAAGTCCTTGCCGCATTATCCCCCAGAGAAGGGAGCCACAGTGGTCACAGAACGTGGGCACCTTGTAGTTGTGAACGTTGAACTTGTGTGGAATGTTGATGCCGAACCGCTGCTCTGCGATCTGGGGGAAGAGAAGGACACCTCAGCTCTCAAAGCAATGTCTTTTGTGATGACCAGAGTGGCAGTGTGGCAATGACAAGGATTATGATGACACCTGAGCTGGGTATATTATTTTACCAAGCAGAACTGTCCTGCTATACGGGTCTTAGCACATTTTGTTGATGAACAGGACAGGACTAAGATACAGGTATGTGTTAGATCATTCGCTGGTTGGAGAAAGAAGAAGAAATTAACATTTCCTTCATCTTTTATATTCGGATCACAATGCTCTCTGTGTCATGAGGAAGACCCGGGGTCACAGCGAAGTCACTCAGCCCTTCCAGCCTTTGTCTGACATTTGCATATAGACAATCTGAGTGCCAATGGAATAGTCTCTTATATGTCATTTCTCATGTACCTCCTCGCCATATGCTCTCTGGTCAGCCTCACAAACTTAAGCAAAAACTGCAGGTGCAGCACGAGAAAGGGTAAAACAAATGACTGCACCTCTCTGGACTTTCCTGGTCTCTTTTCTTTAGGAGCCGAGGTTCATATCTCTCTGTGTGTTTCCCTACCATGCATTCTCACTGTCACTCAAGTCCCCAAGTTGTGCTTTCCCAAGCATCTGCAAGTCCACTACGTGTCAACAACACTTCTCTTGCTTTGTCCCTCTTGAATTTAAAACACGTGCCCATCCCAGGGAAATACAAGTGAAGCTTACACACATAGCATTTCCCTGGAGCCCCTACGAGGCTGAAGGAGGCCCTGTGTCGCTATGCTTAGCAAGTATGATGTAGAGTTGATATACTTGACGATCCTGTTTAATTACTGCTAACACACAGGAGTGAGGTGCAGATGTTTCAGACTGATACTCACAGAGGCTGGGCTGACGATCACTAATGGAGACAGGCCTCAGCCTTGGAAAGTTCAGATGCTGTACAACAAGCTCAGGCCTCTTTCTTTCTTGAACAGTGCAAGTGGTATGTACAGCTTTGCTCAGCTGAACACTGATTGGATCCTTGCAAGGTGTTATGCTTTGAATGTTAACTATGTCTCACGAGCTCATGTTTAGAATTCAAGGGTCCCCAGTCAGTGGTGGCACTGAATGTGGATACAGAGTCAGTGAGATGTGGGAATCTAGCTTTTTAAAAAGTCCATTCTTAGTGGCACAACTTTGCAGGTAATACGCTGCCCTAAGTTTCAGGCTCAGCTTCTTCTCCACCATGCTGGGAACTGCTCTGCTCTGGAGATCTCTCCCCATTGTTCTGACAGTCTGAAGCATCTAAAACCATAAGACAAAGTAACCCTTTTCTCCTGTTAGTACAGGTCACTATGGGTAGTTATGAGTTAGCATCCGTCTACTATGTTAGTATGGGCAGTTATGGGTAGGTATTCTGTGCAAGCGGGCAAAGGCACTACTATGCAAAGTGAGGTCAGACTACCAAAGAACAGAAATGCAAATACTAGCAGCACCTTGGTGGGTCCTAAGGACTCTGAAAGGGCTGAGGGAGGGATGCGTAGGGAGGAGCAGGAAAAGAGAGAGAGAGAGAGAGAGAGAGAGAGAGAGAGAGAGAGAGAGAGAGCGCACACACAGAGGGAATGGTGCTTAATCAGCAAGCCAGTGCTCTCTTACCTTGGCATCCACTTTGTTAATATTGTTTTGGCAAGTGCAGGCTGTAACAATTAGATGATGGCAGCGTTTATGGACGACGCAGGTGCACACTGGGAAATTAAATCCAGCAATTACACATTTATCAGAGGCTCCCAGGACAGCCAGTTGCAGCAGTCAATGAAAGCTGCCCATGCCGGAAACTTGGCTTGGATGTCTGGCCACATCCTGAAATCCAGTGCCCTCATCCTTCCTCATCTACTGACACCATCCTAACAAGACCTTTGCTGACAGTCAAGAGCACTGCCATCCTGTCCTAAGCTGTCCTCTCCTTCCCGACTGCATCCCATCCTGCACCCACCTCCAGAGGAATCTTTTCACAGTATGACCCTGGTCATATCTGTTCTTGCCTGAACACTTCCGGTGATGACCCACTTCCATCAACAGTGTTCAAACCCAGCAGGGGTCCAGACTCCTCAGAGGCCACCCATGCTACTTGGCATGATTCTCCTATGAGACCTATTTGATTCAATAAAAACTAACCATATGGCCTTTCTCTGCCTCTCTAACACAGTCTACTCACCTGGTGATTGTATCTAATGCCTATGACAAGATAAAACCCAAAGAATATCTCATCCATTCAGAAAATGTCCTGTCCCTTTCTAGACCAAAAACTGCCTCTCCTCCTCCGGTTTCCTACAGCCCCTCAGACTGCCTCCTACTTCAAGTCTTCCACATGTGGTTGAGGCCTGCCCAGAATCCCATGCATGGTGCTGGGTGCTGAATGGGCAAATGAATATAAACATTTGAAGAATGGTTCAACCAGCTGCCTGAATATGTAGAACTCCGACACTATGCGTTTCCATTTTCAGCCACGGAAGGGTGTAGTTTGTATGGAATGAGCAAGTAGCGAGACACGGTAGCACGTGAATTTAATCCCAGCACTTGGGAGGCAGAGGCAGGTGGAGATCTGAGAGTTCAAAGTGTGTGTGTGTGTGTGTGTGTGTGTGTGAGAGAGAGAGAGAGAGAGAGAGAGAGAGAGAGAGAGAATGTGTGTGTGTTTGAGAGAGAGAGAGAGAGAGAGAGAGAGAGAGAGAGAGAGAGAGAGAGAGAGTGTGTATGTGTACAGGAGCGCACCACAGGACAGCTCTGGATCTCCCCTGCCACCTAGTGGAATCCTAGGTTCAACCGCAGGTTCTCAGGCTGCACTGGAACAGCCTCCTACCTGCTGAGCTGGCCAGACAGCAGGAGTCTTGTGCTTCTGTTTTTGTTTTGTTTTCATGTTTGTTAACAGTAGTTTAAGGTCCAGCGTGTGTTTTCTGTTAGTAAACGTTCCATATGAGCTTAGGAAGAACGTGGTGTCTGCTGCTGCTGGCTGGTGCATTTCATGAATGTCAGTTTGATCACATTGTGACAGTGCTGTTTAGATCAACCAAAGCCTTACAGCTTCTCCGCCTGCTGAGGCTAGCGATGACTGACAGAGCAGCTACAACAGTGACCTGTCTACTTCCCTTGTGGTCCAAGGGCCTCATTCTCACATGCTTCCCTGCCCACTGTTAGGTATGTACACACCAACCACATTCATGTCTTTTTGGAGAACTGGCCCAGTTACTACTACACAGTGGCCTTGCTAGCTCTGGCCATGTCCTCGGCCTCAAAGACTGCTTTGTCTGAAACACCACCTAGTGCTTCTGACGAGCATGGGGCCAGCATACTGCTCTCCTACCAGGCATTTGGTTTTACGTCCATCAGTGAGACGTAAACAAAACCTTATGCTCATGCCACCTAACTAATGCTCTTTCCTGTTCTTTCATACACAAAAGTAAAACTTAGATTCAAGAGTGTGTCTCAGTCAGTTTTCCTAAGTGAAAAAACACATTACATTGCTTCGTCCAAAACAGAAGGAGGAGTTTCCTTATTTACATGTGGACTAGCTCTGAGATACCTGATGCTGTTGCCAGTCACCTACAGAGTGAAAGTCAAGATGTCCAGCACTACAGTACAGACTGACTCCACTCAGGCCAACAGAAAGGGAGCCCCATGAAAGGCCAAGTGGGTCCGGCCCACACCCACACATAGGAGGAGGCTGCTCTCACACTCTGAATTTACTTAAAGTCTACTAAATTGATTTTACCTTAGAATTGTGAAAATGAACTGTATTTAACTGTGAATTTTTTTTCACATTCATTCATTCATTCATTCATTCATTGGGCTAGAAATCAAGACCATGGCCTGGTACATGCTAATATCTCATTTCAAAAATGTATTTAATTTTTACTTTATAGTTTTTGGCGTGAGTGTATTATTTTTGTGCCATAAACATGTAGTGCCCCTGGAGGCCAGAAGAGGGCATCACATCCTCTAAACTGGAGTTGCACGAAGTGTGAGTAGCCGTGTGGGTGCTCGTGACTGAAACCCCACATCCTATGCAAGAGCAACAAGTGCTCTTAACCACTAAACCAACCCTCCAGTCCCTCCTTTCTTTCTTTTTTTTCCTGAAACAAGAAAGCTAAAAGGATAAAGCTAATTTGGAGAAGAGCACCCTTTCCCTATGCAGGTGACATGAACACAGCTTGTGACTTCCCATCTTGTCAACAGTGCAATGTGAAAACCACGACTTTACCTTCAAGTCTCAAGGGTGTGCTCACCCTTGTACACCTTGGTACTCCTTCTTAGCCCTCTCAGGTTACTGAAGAGCGAACTTTAAGCTTCAAAGCTCTTCTGGGTGCCCTGACTTTAGAAATGATTCCCTCTATATTGTCGAAAACATGCAAGGTCTGGTAAGAACTTCAGTCTGCCGCACGGGTGCTGTGTGTCTTATGGAGAGTTATCACAGCATTGATGAGAGGCAGCCTGGCCTGTTTTCTGTTGATATTATCATATTTTCGCAAAGAAACACAATTAAACATGGTTGTACACATGTTTTTCTTACCTTGGCATTGATAACCCTGTTTCCCAAATACTCCCCTGTTCAAGACAAAAGGGAAAAAAATTACTGTCAGTCAACATCTATAATTATAGTTCTCGAGACGAAGTGTGTTCCCTGGTCCCTCATGAAAAACATCTCTTCGGGGAAGAGGCATGGACAGTGTGTTGTTCCGAGCCCTTGTTTATTACCAGAAGGCACAAAGAATACCAGCTGATGGATTAGACCGCTCCTGGTGATATAAACAGGAGGTGGTGAGGGTTCCCGTTCCTCCTACCTTCAGCTGTCTCCTAAATCCTTAGTGAAAAGCAACCCATGTAGAAGAGGCTCAACTCAGCCAGGAGCTCCTTCATTGCCACACACACACACACACACACACATTCACACACACACACATATACACACACATGCACACATTCATATACACATACACACATTCATACACACACATACACACATTCACACACACACTCACACACACACATTCACACACACACATACACACACATGCACACATTCATATACACATACACACATTCATACACACACATACACACATTCACACACACATATACACATTCACACACACACATTCACACGCACACACACATGCACACACACACATTCATACACACACACACACTCACACACACAGATTCACGCACACACACACACACTCTGCAGCTACCTGTCTCCAGCACTCTCCCTTGTCTTATCGCTACATCTTCCACTAAAGTCCACAGGGGGACAGACGTGGTGCCACCATCTCCTTTCTGCCCATAGCTTGATTTATGACTCACCTTGATGTGCATATATATATATATATATATATATATATATATATATATAT